GGCTGGGGAACGTCCAGACCCACATCCTCTACAACTGGGCCGCAATCTACCTGTTGGCCTGGCCCCTGCCCCACACTCAAATGGGACTACCTGCTGCTCTCCAAGCAGCCCTGAGAATTTTTCAGTCTGTATTTAAACTCCAAGCCAAGTGCTTGGCAAGCACAGTATTTATTAAATTGTGAAGCTGGGTTCTCTCTACCTTCCCCCTGAAATCTTGCTCTCCTTCCAGGGTCTGACTCTAAACTGGCTCCCAGGCGAGCCCTCCCCTCTCCACTGCCCCAGCCCCGAAAACACCCCTCGGCCTCTGATCTCGGAAACCTCCACTCGTACCTACAGTAACGGCGCGTGGTGGCCCCATCTAGAGCCGCCTGCGCGGCTGTACCGGGTCCCATGGCACGCTGAAACACCCTCGGGATCGTGCCGCAGCACCATAAAACATCTCTTCTCTTCCAGAGTCTAACGCAATGCCTCACACTTAAAAGGCTTTCAAGAAGTGTTTGCTGGAGAGGAGAGCAAGGACCCGTACCTGATCCATGGCCCGCCTTGCCCAGGGCTGGGGCCCACAGATGTGCAATAAGGGTTTGTTGAAGGAACGAACAACAACAAAAATGACCAAAATATATTTATAGTAAACAGAAAGCTCATTCTGGGAGCCACAGTTCTAATCTGCCAGGAAGATCGTCCTGCTACATTCAGGGGAGGCATTAGAAAACAGAAGACGTGGGGCGTCCAAGCCATACAGCCGCACAGGTTCCTAGAAGCACAGGCCAGCGCCTGCCTTTCCCTTTCCCGCCCCTGGGGTGAACGAGGAGAGCAAAAACCCCACACGCCCGGGTTGGGCGGTGCCTGCTCCCAGCCTCACAGCCCCGGGCAGACAGCCGCCGGGAGGGCCCACCTGTAGCAAGCCCGGGATGATGTCGGCGAGGAGCTGCAACAAGGACTCCTTGGCAATCCTCTCGACGACTTTGGTCTGCATCTTGATGGCGGCGAGGTTGATGGGGTAGTCGGCCGTCTGGATGATGGGACAGAGGACTTTGATGCACTGCTCTGGGTGGATGGAGCTGGCCAGCGTGGACGCCGCCTCCTCGGCCGCACGCACTACCTGAAACACCAGGTCCCCCACACGAGTGAGCTCCCAAAGACCAAGTCACACCGCTGCCTAACTTCGGAAGCCAGACCATAGACTTCACCTGATGTCTCTGGTTAATTTTGTACAAGGAAGTAAAAGCAGAGTGGTTTGGAGGGTGATTTTACAGGGGATAGGGGGCATGGGAAGGTACGCATGGGGATTCTGCCAGAAACCTTGGAAAAGTGGTTCTCCAAGTGCTGCCTCCCCCTGCAGCAGCAGCATTCCTGAGAACATGCTAGAAATGCAACTTCCCTGGCCCCAACCTGGACTGGCTGAATCAGAGACTGGGGGTGTGGGGGGGCGGGGGGGTGGAGCCCAGCAAGCTGTTTTGGTTTGTTTTTTTTTTTTTCTTAATTTATTTGACAGGGCGCCTGGGTGGCTCAGTCAGTTAAGCATCCGACTCTTGGTTTTGGCTCAGGTCACGATCCCAGGCTCCTGGGATCAAGCCCCACGGTGGGCTCCCTGCTCAGCGGGGAGTCTGCTTCTCCCTCTGACCCTACCCCTGGCTTGTGCTCTGTCAAATAAATAAATTTTAAAAAGTGTTTAAAAATTTATCTGAGAGACAGAGAGCAAGCGCATGTGCGAGTGGGCTGGGAGGAGCAGAGGGAGAGAGAGATCTCAAGCAGACTCCCCGCTGAGTGTAAAGCCTGATGCAGGGCTTGAGCTCACCACTCTGAGATCATGACCTGAGCCAAAATCAAGAGTTGGATGCTTAACTGAATGAGCCACCCAGGCGCCCCCCAGCAAGCTGTTTTAATACTAAGCACTTGAGAGAGTCTCCCATACAGGAAAATTTGAGAGTCTCTGCCCTCAAAGATTAGGAGCTAAAAATAAATATAAATGCTTGTGGGACATCATCCGCAATTAAAACAACTAGAGAGAAGCCTAGAAGAAAAATCAGAATGGCTTCAATACTTAGGATTCCATGAAAGCGCCTAATTGTAAAGCAGTTGGGGAGGCTCAGAAAGAATTCCGGGTTTTCCTGTGAGGAGATTCTTCCTTTTCCAAGAATCTGTGCTGGTATCACCCTCAACTTGCACTCTGAAAGAGGTGCATGAAATGGCCACCTCATGGCCAAAGGAGCAGCCTCTGACCTCTGAAAAGGTCACAGTGCACTTGAATACACTAAGTATTTGTACTAGAGGCCACCAGAAGGGCCGCAAAAACCCTCTGTAATAAAGGTAGAAATTAAATGCAAAACCCAGCAAGGAACAAAGAGCGCGGGCTCTGGACTTAGGTGGCAAACCCCACCCACGCCATTCACAAGTGCTAAACCCCCATCTCCTTATCTGTAAGATGGGGATACCTCTCAAATACCATTTGATAAGTAGTATCAGAATGTACTATTCAGTAGATGAAAGTTACTCCTATTAATAGCACAGGGCTACATATATAAATGATCAACAAAAACACCAGGCTGTAAACATATATGCATTTTCTTATGAAATGTAATGAAAATCTACTACTTTTCTCCTACTGCCCTGCCCTGGACTGGTCATTCCACCCAGACTCTTCTCTGCTTTGTGTTCTGCTATTTGAAACAAGTCAGCTCTGTCTTTAACTCAGCAAGAAGACCAAGGTTATCACCTCAAGCCTTCAATCACCCCAGTGCTCTTGTGATTGAAGCAAAGATTGACCAACAAAAACAGCAGACAGACCATCTGGAAGACATCTTCTAGACCTAGGCAAGAGTGGGCTAAGACATCGGGGCTTACAAGCCAGGGAGGATAGGACACACGGACCGCATGAGGTCACTGCAGGGCCCTGACTGAGGCACTGCCCCCCAGAGCCCCAGCTCCTCTCTCTAGGAAGGACAGGGTCAGATCTCAGGGCGCTGCGGTCAGGGCTTCGGGACAAGACGCAGCCCAGCCTCGTGTTCAGAGTGGGCTACGCTACCCCATGAACAGGGCTCACTTCCCGGAGTGTACCTCAGTGGTCTGCATGTCTGCTTTGCTCTCTGAACAGTAATGGGAAATCCTTTCAACACAAGGGGGCTGAATTCATCTCATTTAAAAATTGGTATTAAGACTGGTCATGGTGCATTAACGGTGGAAGTTCCACCTTGGCTACTCATGTCCCAACACCTGGCATTTAACACTATGAAAAACCTGGAAGGAAATGCACGAAATGTTCACTCACTATCTCAGAGTGGTAAGATTATGGGTCATTTTATTTTCTTCTTCATATTTTTTATATTGAAAGATTGCAATGAGCATCATAGTACTACTATTCATAGCAAGGAGAATGTGTTCATAAAAATTTACTTCAAGTGTTTTTTTGAGATTAGGGAAAGTTAACAGTTCAGCCCTTGGTTCATGGGGAGCAGGGAGGATGGGGTGCTGGCGGCCCGTCATCTTCCAGAACTGAATCTGAACCCTGGCATGGAGTCACACTCCCTGGGTGTTAGCTGAGCGTGGTGCCTCTGTATTTATAATACAGGCTATCATTACAATCACCATAATAAATATTGTTATCTCTGTTTATCTCCTATGTTTCCACAAGCTCTAAACTAAAAACTAGAAAACTAGTTAAACTAGAAAACTGCTAAACTAGAAAACTCACTGTCCTTCAAACACGTGGTTGACCCTGTGCCCTCCTTGACCAGCAGAAAGATCTTTTTCCTCAACTCCTAGAGTTTTTCCTCTATTGCTGGCACCTATTACAGGTTCTCTGCATTCTTGCCAACATTTTCATGTGTGTCCCCTTCTTCCCAAACAGGCCGCAAAGGCCTAGTAGACAGGGGCTGGGGCATTTCCTTTGTACCGCAAAGTACACTGTAAGGCTGGATATTTACCAGTGTGCAACACTTCCAGATGGACTGAATTTCATTCTGTCTTCCTGAGAACAGGTTTCTATTTAAAGAGGCCCTGCCTTCTTGAATTCTCCAAGTTCTCTTTCTTTCTTATTAGAGGCCTTCTGAACTTTCCCTGGGAGGGCCTGCTATCTCCTTAAAGCACTGACCAAAGTCTAGGTGTCTCATTCAGTAAGCTCACGCCCCCATCACCTGGCCAGCATGCTCGTGGACACAACGCATACTCTGTGGGGGCAAAGATTGGGATTATGTATTAATCATTTCAGGAGTCAAAACGGGGACCCTGATCAGCATGGTTCAAGGATGAATATTGTGTACATGTGAGAAGACAGGTATCAAGAACATCACAATTTATCTGTGCTTATTATTATTTATATCATGCAAAGCACTAGAGAGAGAAAAGAACCCTACTCTTAATAAACCCATAAGAGCAATGTTCCTTTCATACCACCATTCCTTCTGCCTTCTGTTTCGTGCTCTGTGTATACATTCATTTACTCCTGTGTGTCAGGGACTGAGCTCAGAGCTCAGGCCACAGGCGTGAGGACGATGGCTGGGGGCCCAGCCCTCACGGTGTTGGACTGGGGGTGGGGGGTGGGGGGCGGTCTGTGCAGAGGGGCAGCATGAGGATGCAAAGCCCCAGGAAGTGGTGGACCAGGCCACAGAAGCAGGCAGGGGCCAGATGGCGGGGAGCTGCTGCCTGTAGAGCGTCCTGCCGTTGGCCAGGATTAGATGAAAGGAAGTTAGTGAGGGACGGGACGCAGAATGAGCATCTGTGGAACGCATCCCGGGTGTTCTGTGGGGATGCCTCCAGATCAAGGGCCCCTGGTCATGCAGAGCCAGCCCACCATGTCTCCACCTCCTCTACAGTATGTGAGCAGTCTGGGTGAGCCAGGCGGCGAGCTCAGCCTTCCCAGGCACCTTGACACACGCGGGCCGACCGCCCTGTCTGTAAGCATGAACTCAGTCAGTCACAGTGATGACATCGCCCTCCACTTTACACACACATGAGACAATTTAGAGAAAGCCCACTGTGATTTTCTCCTTGCCAACTCAATCTCCTGCCAAGGCGCATCTTTTTCCACACACGTCCCCTGAAAGCAGAGTGTTGCGTGGCCCTGGTGGGCACGCATGACCTTCCACCTTTCAGCTCAAGAAGGGCAGCTCCAGAGTTGTATGGACACATTCCCAGCCTCTGAGAGCAGCGGGCAGACAAACCTGAGTTCATTCCTCTGGCAAGACACTCAATTGGTCTGATAATCGGGCCTCAATTTTTTAAAAATTCTAAAATGGGGATATAAAAGGTATCAACTGTGACAGATACTGGAGTGAGATAACTTACAAACACCTGCAGCCAAAAGGCCACCGGGGGGCAGAGTGGAGCACCTGGGAGCTCTGGGACTGCCAGAGAGCACAGCTCTGGGCAGAGGACCCCTCTGACCCGGGCTAGCACCCACATCAAGTGGGTCTGCCATTGCCAAGAATCTCTCTAAAAAGCTAACTCAAAACCAGGCCCACATTTGTCGAGACGGCGTGGAAGGCCAGCAAGGCTTGGCTCCTGCCTGACCATCTAGCGGTGTTTCTGCCCTCCCTCCCTGTCCCCCTGTGCCCTGATGACACGGAGCTGAGGGCACGCCCTGCACATGCCCTGCTGGCCACTTCTCAGAGCCCCGGACTAACCCCTCCATTCTTCCTCACCGTCGCTCACTCGTGCTCTTCTCCTGGCTGGGCCAGGTCAGCCTTCAAGACTCACTCACGGTAGTACGGCTCTGGGAAGCCTCGTGTGCACACCTTCATCACTGCACTCAAACACCTTGCTCAAGTGCTCTCTCCCACTAGACTAAAAGTCCCTGGAAGGTGAGCTCCCATCTTAGCCATTTTTCTATCCCCCGTGCCCAACAGAATGCCCAATATGCACGAGGTCACCAGGTGCTCAGTGAGTTTGTCAAACGAGTACTCCCACAGTGTATGTATTTTTAAAAGTGCCCACGACTGGCAAAGTCACCTCTGGGGCATGCCTCACTGATTTGCATTTACATGTTCCAACCGAGGAGCTAGCCCAGAAAATGAGGAGGAAGCAAGATATCTATAAATGACCAACTTGAGCCTTGGGCAAAATCAACCGTAGAAGGCCCAGAGGGTCCCATTCCAGGTGACATGCCTGAAAGGCAACAGCTCTGTCCTTTGCAAAAGAGACTTTAGTTCAGGTTGGTTTTTTCTAGTATACGCTGTTTGACGAGGGGCAGTGTATTTCTGAGAAGACTTCCATCATGCGACGAATTACCCTAAAATCAAGTGCTTTTCTTCCTCTTCAGTTCCTGCATGTCCCACGGGTTGCCGTAAGTCCACAGTGCACTTGGGAAAGCCCCACACTGGGCACGTGGCTGAGTTACGTACTGCTAAGCAGAAGGTGGACAGTGGAAGAGGGGGTCCATCTCTTTTCTAAGCTGGTCCCACAGGGAGACCGAGACCGTGCTCTGAAACCCATGCCTTTCTGCTGTGCAAAACTACTGTTTCCAAGTATCCTAATATACTGCTCAGAATGCTTAGTACTGACTGAAAAAACTTTCTTAGTTTTTAAACATGGGGGAAAAAATAGCAGGGTCAGAAAATACTGGATAACTTCATAGATACAGCCAAGGTAGAAAATACGGAGGGACAGGAATACATGTTTAGGATCCCGCTAGGAGCGGGGCAGCAGCTCAGCGGGTGCAAAGACAGGCGTGTAAACAGCCTGGGATTCAGGTGTTAGCAGCGCCACTCAACAGTCCTGACAGGAGCAGACCGCCTCCCCACACCCCTCGGCATGCAGCGAGCATTAATGGGATGAGGAAGGGTACTGGCAGGCTCACAGCGAGAACTCCGTCCCATCGTAAGGTGTCCTTCCTTCCCTCCCACCTCTCTGTGCTCTCTCGTCGTTCAGGTGAAAGGGAGCTACCCTACCCTAGGCAGCTACCCTACCCTAGGCAACCCACAGACTTTCACATCTGCTGAGCTGAAACCCAAACCCAAGGAGAACTTCCTTTTCGTTCTAGAACTCCAGGAATTTTCCATGTCACCCTGCATGAAGCATTTAATCAAATGTACCTAACATAAAAAGGTTTTCGGAAAATGTCTGAAAATAAAAAGCCAGAAGGTGCACTTTGAGATGGTAAGTTTGAGGCCTTCTCTCTTACACTCGGTTACAGAAAGTTTCCCAAGGCAGACATTGTTTTTGGCAAGGAGGGTAGGTGTTCCTGACTTCCCTCGAGATGCCAAGCCCCCAGTTTTTGGCGAGCTGCCTGAATCAGGGTGAACTTTAGGTTTTGCCCCTGTGTTCTATGTAACATAAGAAGCAAAGATTATAAATGTAAGCAAAGAGAGAGCAAAAGTAAACATGGGCACCAGAAAGGAAGGAGAACAATACTGTTTAGGAGACAAGGTGGCCAGAAACGGCAAGGATTTTAAAAAGGGCAATGGGGCATATTTATGACACGGCAGCATCAAGCAGGTTATAATCCACCTTGAAGTGATCCAAACTGTTCCAAGTCTGACTCTGCTACAGTCTGGTTAGAAACATAAGGATTCTTTCTTTTCAAAGTTAGTGAAATAATAGTAGCCAGCTAGGAAAAGCATAATTTCCTCATTTTTTTTTTTTAAAATGAGATCATTACTAAGAATATTAATGAATGTTTGCTTAAAGATAAGGTTTCTTCTAGAGCACAGAACTTGTCAAAATTTGGATTGTGTGTTTTAAGTTCGCAAAGTTTGGTTTGGCTCTGTCACAGACATACCAGAAAAATTGGTTGAATTAAAAAAAAAAAAAAAAAAAAAGCAAATGTTCCTAAACAATGACTGGAATCAAAGAAGTCTTCCCAGTTGGGCATACCTAGTTTAGCCCCTCAGAAATGTGGAGGCTAAGGAAAAGCATGGCGCCACCTCCTGGGGAAAAGCTGGAAAGACCTTATACAAATGGGATCCACACTGAGTTTTGGTATCCACCAGGATCCTGAGATTTGGTCATTGGTGAGAGACTGGCACTTAATAAATGCCAGGATTTAAGGTGGGGTGCCAGCATGGGTCTGGACCTGCTTGCGAGTCCTCACTTAGCTAGGCTCAGTACCATGCCAGAGGGAGCAAGGCAGGAAAGAAAAAAAAAAGCTCTGAGTGGAATGTCCACAGGCCTGAGTTTTGGACCTGGTTTTGTTATCAACTAGTGAGGTGGTCTGGGGATAAATTTCTTCTGCTTTCCAGGCCTCAGCTTCCGTCATCAGAAAAATGAGGGGGAGACTATAAAATCAAGGATTTTCACATTATCTTGGGTTATATAACCTTATCTTCCACGCCTACTTGACAAGCACTTTCTCCTGGGGTGGGGGGGGGCG